CCCCCCCCCCCCCACAAAAAAAAAAAACCCCCCCCCCCCCCCCCGCCACAAACAAAAAAAAAAAGGTGAATGAGAAGAGTCAGTATGAACAAATTGTTCCGATGGTTTAAACTAGGTCTGGTAACTCTTTTTTTCTAAATTCTATATTTTTGGCGAAAGCAAAAATTCCTAGCCTAAAATTAAAAATTCCCAATAACTAGCCTTTTTTGCTGCTCTTTTTTACCTATTAAATGATATGAGGAATGTGTTTCTGTTGTTTTGCCGAATCTCATAATATGGTTGTACTGTTTCCTTATGATGAACAGGTGTATGATTTGAGAAAATTGATTGCTGGGAATGATCGTTTGCCTCTTGAGAATTTGAGGCTTATTTTACGAGGGAATGTGTTGCTTGATAACAAAAATGGAGATGATGTATTCATCCAACTCAATGATGGAGGTCTGCATCTTATTTTCGATTCACTATCTTCTTAGTTTAAGACCGTTCCTTTATTTTTCTTTTTAGGTAGTGGGACATTCTTTTTCCAGAATCTGTACTTCATTGAGTACATCTAACATAACCGATATGATCTTAGAACTGCTGCTTACATGTTTATCTTAGAACTGCTGCTAATATCCAACACTCCTATTTTGATTAAAAGAACTTGTTTGGGAATTTTTCCTAATTGAACATTCTTTGCCGCATAGTGTTAGCTGTTTTGGGTAAATATTACGCTGAAGATGTGCTATCACCTTTTTTCTTCATTATGGGTTTTTTGCTCATGATCACAAGTACGAAGATGAAAGACTCTTTCGGAAGAGCGCTCTTGCATGTATATGCTGGTCAGCTAGGGAGAAGCACGGACACATATAAAGACACGGACACAAATATAAAAATACGACAAAATCCTAAAAAATAGGATACGGATACGACCAGAATGCATCTATAATATATATATTTATTTTTTTATATTATCTAATGACTTGATAGCTATAATCTTTAGTAATTCTTTAATAATAATAAACAATATTAATATTTTTTTTATTTTCAAAAAGTTAGTTATCGTCCCATTATGTCTACAAAATGAACGTGGTTAATTAAAAGAATAAAAATCAACATTTAACTATATTATTTGCTTAGAAGTATTTGTTAATAAGATTATAAACTTATTTAAACTCTTTGGACATGTGATAAGGGATAATACTTGGAAAACACGCATGTGTCTTCCAAGTCATATGAATATTTGTTGATGTATTGTCTTGTATGTGAAATTAAATGGAAGAGGAAAGATTAAAACTAAAAATTACAGACTTTTCTGCATGTATAAGTATTCATGAAGTATTCATATATTTTATTTACTAGTTGTTGCACACGTGTGTTGTACATGGACTAATTGGACTTATCATTATTTGTTTTAATTATTCAAGGTTGAAGAATTTGAGTATGTGTCGTTTTTATTAAACGAAAAAACTTGAAAGAAGAAGATAGACAAAACTTCTAGTTTACAACTCCAGGATTTTCTACAAGAATTTTTATTTATTACCAAACTAAATTTCAGCATTCACAATCCTATATATATACACAACAGACAAATTAGGTAGGAGTTGAGAGACCTTGAGAGGTATTCCTTTCTTATTCTCAGTCATATGAATTTTTGTTTATGTATTACCTTGTATTTGAAATTAAAAGGAAGAGGAAAAAGTAAAGCTAAAAGTTACACATATTTTTCTGCATATATAAGTATCTGCTAAGTATTCATATATTTTATTTACTAGTTGTTGTATACATGTGTTGCACATAGACTAATTTGACTTATAATTATTTGTTTTATTTTTTTGCTTTTATTCTTTTGTTTAATTATTTAATATCGAAGATTTGAAAAGATTTGAGTATGTGTCATTTTTATTAAACGAAAAGACTTGAAAGAAAAAGATAAGACGGCAGTTTACAACTCCACAATTTATTATAAGAATTTTTATTTATTACCAAACTAAATTCCAGCATTCACAATCCAATATATATATATATATATATATATATATATATATATATA